AGTCCTGGCTGCCAGTGAAGACCGAGGCAAAGAACTCATTCAGTACCTCGGCCTTCTCTTCGTCCGTTGATTACCAGTGTAAAAAGAGGGATGGGATGCTAATTGCATCAATTAGTTGTGCGATGACTTGAACGCACAACAAAGCTGTATAAAAGTTTGTTCAGATCATAAAGTGGCAGAGGAATGGCTGATTAGCTGGTCACTGCCTCTCACAGCTAATAACAGCTTTATTACGAAAGCATTTCATGCTTCCTTCAGTTACTCATGTGGCCTGAATGCGTCCAAAGAGCCCATTGGATCCAGGTTTCATTGTGGGAAGACATTTGAAATTGTTCATTTCCAGCTTCTTTTCAGACAGAGAATCCAAACGTTTTGTATCTCGTGACAATGAATGTAGAGGCAAAGTCCTGACTAATTTTGAACATCCCATTTGAACATCATCCTGAGAAGTGGTGGAGTCACTGTCCCTGGAGGTAAACCATGGAGATGTGGCACTAAGGGCACGGTGGGGATGGGTTGGGGCTGGACTTGATGATCTTGGAGGTCTTTTTCAGCCTTAATGATTCTATGATTCTGTGACTTTACACCTCCTCTTTGGCCTCTTCTGTACCCATTCTTATCACCACATACCCAATTTGGGATGGGAGGAGGAGCCAGAATGATCCAAATCTGTGGTTTTATGCAGTGTCACAGGGATGGTCAAGGTTTAAACCTTTATCTTTTCTCCTGAGTGGGCACAGGAGCATTTCTAAGTGTTAAACTGATGTTTTTACCAACAACACCAAGCTGTATTCCCCAACAAGATCATTTTGTTCTGAGCTCATCTCTGTGAAAACTGGATTAGTATGGGAAATTTTGCCCATTTACTTCACTTTCCACTAAACTCTGCTGATGTCCAGCTCCCATTTTGCTGCAGCTGGTGGGAGGTTGGTACTTGCTCCCTGTGCTTCTTTTTCACATATTTCTGAAAAAAAAAAAAAATAAAAAACGAGGCTTCAGGGCTGTGGTGTGAAGGTAGGGAGGCTGGAGCTGCTTGGTATTGAACGGGGCTTTGCAAAAAGCTTGGTTGCTCAGGGAAGCTCTGGCTGCCTCATTTCTGGAGGTGTTCAAGGCTGGGTTTGATGGGGCTCTGGGCAGCCTGAGCTGGTGCCTGATTTAGTGGTTAGCAACCCTTCCAACTAAGGGGGTTGGAACTAAGTGATATTAGAGGTCCTTTCCAACCCACACCGTTCTATGATTATGTGATTGTCTATCATTTTGTGTGCAGCTTAGAAAACATTTTTCTCATTTCAGTTATGAACAACTTAGGAAAGTTTTGATTCTTCCTCGCACCAGTAGTAACAGAGGGATTCAGTGGTCACTAGTTTGGGCTAGTAGAGCTTACATCTGTTATTTAGCTCTCCTCCTGAAAAGAAATTAACATCCAAGCTGAGCATCTCTCCTAAAATGCCCTATTTTTCTGTATCTTTGGGAAAATGTCATACAAATGTACCATGGACTAGTTGATCTTGGAGGTCTTTTCCAACCTTGGTGATTCTATGATACAAGGTGTTGTTGGAGGCCATAGTAGAGAGAAATAAACACACCTGGGGGTTTCCTGTCTCTGGTTTTTCTTCTCTCTGCTCCCGGGCAATCAGCAATACAAAGACTGTTAATAAAGTGTCTGAAAGGACATTATTTGAGAGCTGATTCATGCAGCAGTTTGCTGAAGGCTGGATTTGCTGCTCTGTGCCCTTGGGGTTATGTTCCCTATTTAGCTTTCTCTTCAAACCCAGTGCGATGCATCTGTTCTGCCTTCCACTTCGTGAGTTTCGTTTAAATAAAGTAATGGCATCACATTCCATAAACAAACTGTGAAGTCTATTCCTATGTATTATTTGCACTGGGATTAGAAACAGGAAAACAATCGCTGTGTTGTTGTTCAAACACAACGATACCCACCTACAGGATGTCACTATTTGCAAAATGAACCATTAATTACTGGTGGCTTCCTGTGTTTTTGAGTCTCCTCATTTGTCAATCAATAGCAGAAAGTTTGGTGGATCTGAAGTGGTATTTTTAATCAGGTTTGTTGTTGCTGTTTCCATCTGTAGGTCTTCCATGATTTGTTATCAATGCCAGGACCAGGCCTCTAGCTGGTGTAACCAGCACCACTCTATGTGCAGAGAGAAAGGGTTGACTGAATCAATGCAAGTTTGTTGAAAACAACAGAATTGGAAAGAGGAATGAGACCTACCAGTCATACCCCAAAGCAACAGAAGTGATTAATGACTGTGGCAAACTCTGCTCTTGGTCTCCGTTTCTGCATGATGACTGGATGCCTTTGGGGAAGATGGCCTTGAGACAGGGCAGCTGAAGGAAGTGTGATGACCTGAGGATGACAGGAGGATGGATGTTATCAGTTCCTTCTAGGGAAAGCTGAGGGATTCAGTTCATGTAACTGTGGACTTTTAGAATTGAAATATTGCCTTCCAAGCACATTTTAGCTGATCTATTCTGTATGGGTTGGGACGATAAGTCTTGAGCTCTGGGCTCTGTGGACTCATTGACTAGATCTTTACCAACTGCAAAGGGATTTCATGTGACATGTAGGAAGTGAAAATGTTTGTGAATAGACATCTTCTCACTGTCTGAAGCCAGCCTGTATCCCTAAAACCTCTTTGTTGAATGTTTTGGAAGATGTTAACAGGAGTTGAGGTATACTTCAGTGTGGCTGGGACTTCCAACATCTACTCTAACTGGAATTCTTCTTGTCAACCCCATTCACAAGCCAGACTTCTCTGTACCAAAACCAGCAAGAAGGATTCAGAATCAAGGTCACAGCACTTCAGCAGAAAATATTTCATGTGCGTATGGGGAGTTACTACGTTATGGTGAAAAAGCTTTCAAAAGTGAAGAAAGATAAACAAGGTGCTAAAATGAAGCGAGTCTAATGTTTTTTTATACAGCTGTCAGCCTTATGAACAATCCATAAACATATTTTATGGCTTGCATAGGGCAATCAAACCAACAACTGGAACACGAATCCATTGTTTACATGAATGAGCGACGCAACTGAATACAGGAAACCACAGCCAATTGGATGGTCCCCAGGCACAATTGCACAAACCAAAAATAAAGGAAAGTGGCAGATTTTCTGCTAGTGTAGATCAGTCATATTATCATATCATATCATATGCATTGAATTTTCATCTCTTTTCCTTATTTTTTATTTTATTTTATTTTACCACAAGGAGATCTCGTCCTCAGAATAAAGATCATTTTTACCTTTTACTCAAGCAATATTTTCTAATTAGATTATACATAATTAATATTATTCTTTATATCTGTTTGTTTGTTTGTATGTTTGTTTTCAGTGCCTGCAGCCTGCAGCTGTGGGTCAGGATCACACAGTCCTGTACTAGCACTGAAGGAAATCAAGATTATGGCATTAGTAAAAGACAAGATACAGAAGGTGGGATGCTTATTGAAATCTTCAGTATGTCACTGCAGCATGTCAGCAAATAAGATCATTAAGTAAAGGTACAAGAGGAAAATTGCAAGCTTTGATTAGCAGAGAGGAACCCAATCACACATTGCATTAATTTTATTCATTTAGTTTATGCATAAATTTAGCAAACAAAGTTGTTTGTTTGGTTGTTTTGGTTTTTTTTTGCCATACCAGTGTCCAACCATTAGGAAAAGATTATTATTATTATTATTATTATTATTATTATTATTATTATTATTATTATTATTATTATTTGGTGAAGAATGTGCTCTCTCCATTCTCTTAGTTGTCAACCTAATTCTAAATGCCTTCTCTGTAAGGCATCTTTCCTTCACTTTCCATCTGCTTTCATTTCTCACTGAGTATCTGAGTATCTGACCCATGAGGGTCCCTTAGAGGAGCCATGAAGACCACTGCCCTGGGAGCTGCAATGTTCCTCCTGGCTGTCAGGCAGTCATCCAAGAGCACTGCTATGGTACTGCAAATGGTTCAGATAAGAACCGTGAGAGCAAAGGAGTACTGGATTGTGATGAAGGATTTGATCTGCTCCGTTGGCTTGGTTTGGAGGTGAATGGAACCTCAAGAGAGAGTCAACAAACCAGTGCAGGATGAACTGTATTGTTCTCCATGGAATGGACTGACCAGCTCTCCACTTTCTATCAAAATCTTTCAAGGCCAGGTTGGATGGGGCTCTGGGCAACCTAATGGAGTGTCTGATTTAGGGGATGACAACCCTACTCACAGCAGGGGGGTTGGAACTTGATGATCTTGGAGGTCCACTCCAACCCAACTCCAACTCCAAGCCATTCTATAATTCTGTGATTCTATCCAGTGGTTTAGTTCTTCTAGAAACCTCCACCAGTTTCAATGACGTAGCCCCATAAATCTACAAAAGCAGCAGAGATGCATATATCAGTGAAATATCTGAAAAGCATGAGTGCAATATTTCAATTATAGGGATCTACTTGATACCAGCAGATGATGGTCTTGTCCTTGGTCTGTGGGGCAAGGGTGAATTATTCAGCTCCTGTTGCTCACCTCACTCTGCGAGCTAAAGATAGTAATAACTACCTTCCAAAGTCCTGAGAGAGTTAAGGATTAATTACTCCATAGTACTCAACATTTATTTTCACACAATCAATGCCACTGGGAGCAGCGAAATAAGCTTTGCAATTACTACTACATACCCGTGGGGGACCATTTACTCATGAAGTATTTCAATAAAACAGTTTTTTTAAAAATCATTAAAAAAATATGTTGTTTATGCAGAAAAAAAGAGAAACTCTTCAGGGCTCAGGAAGAACAACAACAACAAAAGCCATGCAAACAATTAAACAAGCAACTTTCTCTGAACTGAAGATGGCAGTCTGCTAGAAATAGAATGATTTAAAGTGGGTAGTATGCCGTGCATTATTAAAACAGCACTATTTATGCTGGGAACATGGTAAAACTGCTCCAGGGTACACGATGTGCTGAAGGCACAGAGGAAACAGGGTGCCTGGCTCTCTCCTTTTCTCCTCAGAGCTTTGCAGAGCAACGGAAGAGAGAGGAGGCAGAAAGAGCTACGCATAGCTATGCTATGCATGCAGGAAACTGATAAGCAAATACCTATCATCACTACAAGAGTATTTCTCAAGATAGGTTTGTCCTGGGAGTTTTCCTCCCAGGTTGGAGCCACCTGAAAGAAACGTTTTGCTCTCAAAGCAGAGAAATCTCTTGTGGAAGGAGACCCACCTCCTTGATTGACACCACATGCTATGTGAGCAGAACGCTTGGCTGAAAGCATTAGAGATAAAGGTTCTACTTTATCAACAGAGGATGTGACACAAGCTGAAGTCTTTGTGGGGAAGGCAGGAAATGGAACGTTTCACTGAGCCCAGTCAAATGCATCACAGAGCTGCACTGTACAGAGGGTTCTAACTGTTGGTGCCCATAGGTCACACCTCAGGAATTTTCCAATAGGGTGATGAGATTGATAGTGGATCATGTCATGAACTGTGTTTAGAATCATAGAATCATTAAGGTTGGAAAAAATCTTTGAGAACATCTAGTCCAATTGTCAGCCCACCCCCACCATGAGCACTAACCACGTCCCTCAGTGCCACATCCCCATGGTTCTTCAACACCATCACTTCTCTGGGCAGCCTGTGCCAGTGCATTGCTGAAGATTTTAACAGCCCAAACCAGAAATTTTTGTTTCTGTGTTATAGTTTAAGTCACTTTCAGGACTTGCAACTTTACTGGGAAAGACCAGTGTGCACTGAGTACTGGTTACCAGGACTCTTCCAAGCTGTCTGCCTGTTCTCCAGTGATTGTCTCCACTTGCCCACTGGTTCTCCAAGATCCCAGTTTTCATTTATTTCTAGCTCTTACAGCTGTGAACAAAACCTTCAAATCACATGGGAATGGAACATGTTTTAGTGGACGTGGTAATGATGGGTTGATGGTTGGACCAGATGACCTTAGCAATCTATTCCAACCTATACGAATAGCTGTGCCTGAGTTTGCCAGAGCCTGGAATTACAGTTCTGAAAAGACTAAAGTGCCATGGTCATCTCACAAAGATTTAGGGCAGAAGTGACTTCAGATAGCAGTGCTGCTCATTTGCCTTCATGGTGTTAATTGAAGATCTTCTTGGTCCATCCAAGTGGTTTGGGAACCAACAGTGCTAGAGCCCTGAGAGATCTGGGGGCAGTGGGCTCTGATCTATGGGTAGCAAGACCCCAGGAAGCAAGCAGAGAGCAGCTCAGAATGTTTTTGGTCACACTGCAGAGTACTACCCCATGTTTTCACATGGGATAAGTTTTTTTTTCTCTCTTTTGAGTCAAACCCCAGTACGGGAAGATTGCAAGGTCTCACTGGAGCCTGAGGCGTGAACACAGCAAATGAGAATAAGACTTTCCCCACAAAACTGAGATTTTTTGACAGTTGATGAGCACCTTTTGTAAGATTACTGATTTTTCTTCCATTTGTTTATCTGGGATATCCCTTAACTCAGCCTCAAACCTGCTACAGAAAATACTTCTCACAGTGGGGAGCTGAGAGCAGTGCTGCTTATTTCATGCCCCTTGGATATACTTTCATAGAATCACAGAACCATAGAATGGCCTGGGTTGCAAAGGAGCACAATGCTCATCCAGTTCCAACCCCCTGCTATGTGCAGGTCACCGACCAGCAGACCAGGCTGCCCACAGCCACATCCAGCCTGGCCTTGAATGCCTGCAAGGATGGGGCATCCACAACCTCCTTGGGCAACCTGTTCCAGTGCCTCACCACCTCTGTAAGAAAAACTTCCTCCTAATATCCAACCTAAACCTCCCCTGTCTCAGTTTCAAACCATTCCCCCTTGTCCTATCAATATCCACTTTCTTGGAGAGGAAGGTTCCCACCTGGTGTCCCAGTTGAGATCTCTTCCTCCATCCCTTCTTAAGGAAATACTGTTTGCTGCAACTCAGATTTCTTGGTGTAGCTGCTGAATATCACAGTTAAGGATTCACATAGCTTGCTTGATTTCCTCATCTGACACATTTCTTACATATCTGCTGCCTCCAGGTTTATATCTGTGCAAGCAAATCAAGTATCCTTACTATACATTAGCAAAACATTGCATCTATTGATGGAGTGAAATGTTACGTTCTAAATCCCTCCAACACACACACACAGACACACACACACAGAATGTAGTTTCTGGATGGGATAAAAGTTGACAGTTCAATCTCTTGAATGAATGCTGTCTGGGAGGAATTTGTCTGATATAAATGCTGTTTTCCAGATGATTGTTGTTTTTTTCAGACTTTCCTTGTAAGCATAAAATGGTTTCATGCACAAAACCTCTTTGACTATAGAAAACAAGGAAGCCCTCCTTTAATCTGGGGATATTTGCAGGCTAAATCACGTTAGATTTAACTGGATTGACAGAAAAGGATTTTCCACTGTTCCTATCGTTTTTGACAGTGTAAATGCCAATGACATGATGGTATTCTAGAAGCAATTATTTCCCCTGTGAGGCCCTGGTCTCATTGCCTGCACCCAGAGAAGAATGACAGCAAGGACTGCAGGTGTATGACATTATTGTGACACTTCTGTGCTGTCACCATCTCCAGGAGGTTTTGCAACAGCCTTTTCAGGGAAAGCTTTTAAAAACTGTGGCTACTCCTGTAGCCTTCTGGAAAAATATCAGTCATATAAAGACATACATCCCATAGAGAGCTGAACATTATCCAAGGAGATGACTTAATGCACGTCGCAGGAAGCGAAGCATCGTGCTTCACTTCTTCTGAGTTAAGATCATGGCATTTAATGGGGTAAACTCTCCTGATGCATTGGCTCTGTGCTGACGTCTCGTGCCGTACCTGCTGACTCTGAGAAGGATTTCACAGAGAGGAGATGAGCACTTCTCAAGGGCTGAAGATCTTGCTGCTGTATTTTGCCTCGGAGATGTTACGTTGCCGTGCCCTGGATTGGCTCTCCATATATCAGAGGGCTCAGTCTTCCTTGGCATAGCTCAAGTGAGGTTCACCAGCGTTCAGCAAGCTTTTATTTATTTGTTTCAACAAGAAATATGACCCTTGGCATTTATAACATCAGTCTTCTCCCTAAACACTGTCTTATCTCTCTATTTACACCCAGTTTCCCATGTTATCCAGTGTCTTCCTTCCTGTGTCCACCTCTTGGATTGGAGCAGAACTGTTTTTCGTGCTCGTGTTGTGTGCTGTGCCAGGCACAGGTCAGCAAACAAGAACTCTGGCTGGCAATAGCAAAGAGCAATCACTCAAGCTGGACGATTTCATGCAGAGTGGGAGTGGCATCTGTATACTGATTCATCTTGGGCTGCAGATAGCCTGAAAACTGGGCTGTACATGGTTGGCAAAGGAACAAATATCCCAATGCAAACACAGAGGATAGAGTCGAGTATTTGTGGATAAGAGCATGGGAAACTTTGTTCTCAGGCACACGAGTTTTTGGTCACAGGTAACACAGGGGACAGAACTTTTTAAGTGAATTCCTCTGCTGATCCCATTGAGATCCTGCCATCACCAGACATTCATGCCAGGCGAGATTCCCAGGAGAAACTAGGGGTGATGGATGTGTTTTGCACATAAAACGACCCGCTGACAACAACAGCTGGGCTAGAAAACTTACAGTATCTTTTCCCTCTTTAATGCCACTAGTTCTCTGAGGGTGAATTCAAAGGCAGCTGTGCCGTATCTCGTAGTGTTCGGGAGGTGAGTGGGTTGTACTCACTCTGCTGTGAGTCATCCTCATCTTGTTTAACTGCAGCTTACCAATTTTCGTTTGTTTGTGTGTATGTTCCAGGCATATCTGATTGATGATGCACGCAGCTCTGGAAGCTTTCTGCATCAAGTCTGCGCACTTTCCATTAAAGATTTTCAGCAGTGTGCATGGAGACCACAAGACAGAATGTAAGATGTGCAGATACAATTTGCAGAGATGAAAATGTTCTCGTTTAACCATTTATCCTCTCCCAGATCAAGCCAAGATTCTCTCAGTGATCGTGTAGGATGCACTTGCAGCCCAAAAGGCCAACAATACCCCAGGCTGCATCAGTAGAGATGTGGCAGTGAGGAGGGAAGGGATTGTCCCCTAACTGTGACCTCACTGTGGCCTCTCAGCACTTGAATGGGGCTTACAAGCAGGGGCGAGGTGACTTTTTACATGGTATGGTAGTGATAGGATAAGGAGGAATGGATTTAAACTAAAATAAGGAAAATTTAGATCAGATGGTAGGAAGAAATTCTTTACTCAGGGGGCGATGAGGCACTGACACTGCTGCCCAAAGCTGTGGTGCCCCATCCCTGGAGATAACCAAGGCCAGGTTGCATGGGGCCCTGGGCAGCCTGAGCTGGTGGGGGTCAACCAGCCCAAGGCAAGGTGTTGGAACTAGGTCATCTTTAAGGTCTCTTCCAACCCAAGCCATTGTATGATTCTATGATTCTATATAACGTGAGCTCATAATCAAATCCAAGGTGAAATCTAGTCGTCCAATTTGCTTATAACTGAGGAAATCACAACTATAAACAATATAATGCTAACAAGGAATCTCTTAATTTCAGGTGGCAGTCAGCGAAGACTTCATTTTAAGGTATTATCAACAGTTAGGGAAAGAAACGTAGACCTGTTCTAAACTGCATTCGCTTGAATCCTGTTTAAGCTGATGGAGTTCAAATTAAGTGCTTAATGCCAAAATGTTCCCTCTTTGGGGACTTACTCAAGCTATAAATAAGGCATTATTTCAGCATAACAAGAGCCAAAATCATGTATAGGGAATTAGATGCAATAGGAACTGTTTCCCATCTTCTCACTGCAGAAGTGGCGAGCCACAGGCTGCAAAACACATTCTGCAAAGCAAATGGTTGATTTTTAACCACTGATGTGCGTGCTCCACACCACCTGTGCTTGTCATGCAGTGCAAAGCCTGGTCTGCTCCTGGGCAGCAAGAGGGTTCTGTATTAAATGTCGGTGTTTTTCTTTAACTACAGCCACAGAAGCAAGTATGCAGGGCCAGACTGTAAATAGTGAAGTTTTATCACAGTGCACCACAGTTTGCATCTTTAGATAACCTTCCTGCTTTACAGGAACTACTGTGTCATATACTAAAAACAGCATCAGCTCCATACACAGCCTCTTTGTTGGGCTTTCTGAGTGGAATTTGCCTGTTTAAGCATAGGCGATGTCAATTAATGTGGTTCACCATAGCCATAGCCATGGGACAGGATCTATAGGATCTGCAATACATCTCTGCTTTGCTGAGCGGGCGGATGAAGTGCAGGCATTGTGTTGGAATCACCATGTTGGAGGTGTCTGTGTGTCGCCCAAGGCTTGTAGCAA